ATCATCTGTAGCAATGTGTCATTTGTATATTCGTCTTTTTTACGGACTTCTCTAATGCTGTTGGCCGCAGCTGGCCTTTACTGCTCCACCTGGCGATAGGGGGCGAGTGCAGATGGCACTCCAAACTCGCGGAAGGACTTATGGAGCTGAACACCAACTGTTGCCTGACGGATATGATTTAGTCTGAGGGCACAGCTCGGGGTTCGAGCGTCCGCTTAGGAACTCCTGCCTGATGGATATGAGTTCAGTCTGAGGGCACTGCTAGGAGTTTCGAATCCCTACCTCGACTAAATCTGTCGTAACTTGTTAGAATGGAACAGGGGATCAAATGGAGGGTTTTAGTGTAGTTTAGTTTCCACAACCCTTCATAAAGCCTGCGATTCTGTACGAACATTTCACCTCGTTAAAAAAGGGTAGCGCTTTTTTGGAAGGTTACCATGGAATTCTTACCCACTAAAACCCTCGATGTTCCGCACCATCTGCCATTGTCTCAAGGAGACCCTAAAAAAGGTACCCTAAAAATCAAAACGGGCTCAGTACATAGAGTTGTACAGAAGCGCCCGTCTTTATATAAAGTTGCTGAGGGTTACTGTGGGGTTCTTCCTCACTAAAATCCTCGGTGTTCTCAGCAGCAGTACCCTCAAAACGGCTCACTATATAGAGTTGCCTTAACCCCGTGCCTGCACGTCGTATCGTTAGGACAGGGTTCCGCACAAAGAACGTCATAGGATTGAAGTGTCCTTCCCGAATCAATGGCTGTTGATAATTTATTCTCGGCGCTGTTGATTATTTATTCTCGGCGCTGTTGATAATTTATTCTCGGCGCGCAATTTCTGCGACATTTTAGATGTTATTTATTATTAGTGTTTGCTGATGTTTCGTTTCACGTCCCAATGGTTAAGGAAGTATCGAATATTGATTTATTAAAAAGGGCCGAATTAATGCCATTGAAATGGAATATAAATTTGTTCTTACTTATATTTCACTTTGTAATTCTATTAACGAGTATCGGTGTCGTTGTTTTGGTTTTATCAAAATTGTTTCTATGAAAATATTATGTACTAGCTTTTGCTCGCGGCTTCGCTCGCATTAATTTATCCCCTTAGGGGTGGAATTTATTAAAATCCTTTCTTAGGGGATGCCTACGTCATAGTAGATCGGTTTAAAATTGACAAAGTTTCATACAAATTTTCATCCCCTATTTTATCCCCTTGGGGGTAGAATTAATCAAAATCCTTTCTTAGCGGATGCCTACGTCATAACATCTACCTGCATGCCAAATTTCAGCACGATTCTTCCAGTGGTTTGGGCTGTGCGTTGATAGATCACTATGTCAGTCACCTATGAGTTAATTTTTTTGTATATATAGATTTGTGTACAGATAATCTATAACAATGAATTATTTTATTTTTCGTCTGTGAAATAAAAAAATAGATGTGAATCAATTTTGAAAAAAATAATTTAAAAAAAAACAATAATTGAAAATTCTTATGGTTGTGAGCTAAGTTGATTATATTTAAATCATTATAAAAATATATAAAATATTATATATTATTAATATTATATATAATATTATATTGCGGTCAAACGCGCTCAAATTATGATATAAAAAAAAAAAAAATATAATTACAATTTAACTAACAATTTGGTGTTTTTTAATGGTTTTCAAAGATCACATTCACGGATCTGGTTGAGCCTGATACACAGTGTTCCTGGGCGGTAAAAAGTATCCTATTAATATTATAAACGCTAAAGTTTGTGAGTATGCATGGATGTTTGTTACTCTTTCATGTTAAAACTACTGAACAGTTTTTTATTAAACTTTACAGTAATATTGTTTATACATCAGAATAACATATATATAAAATTTAAGTGTCTGTTTGTAATATTGAAATAACCGATTTTTATTACATGCATATGAATGTAAATACGGTACATACGCCAAAATACCATTTTTTACAATTTTTGTCTATTTGTCTAATCTCTGAACTGACTGGACCGATTTTGACGGAACTTTCTTTGGCAGGTAGCTGATGTAATAAGGAGTAACTTAGGCTACTTTTATTTTAGAAAAATAAAGTTAAATTCCACGCGGACGAAGCCGCATGTACAGCTAGTAGACTATAAAGTTCATACAGAAAAAGTGCATAAATAACAACTAATATGTACTACATGAATAAAATAATGCATTCTTAAGTTAGTGTCTGGATTCTAACAGAAGAAAATTACATTCTGAATGTGATAGGAATTGATAAGCCACGTCGCAACGGTTCAGTTAGTAATGTGCAGAGAATGAAACGTAGATGAGGTTGCAAGTAGATTTTCTCAGATATTCCACTCTGTATTATGAGAATATCGAATGAGAAATTCAATTTTGAATTGAATATTATGATAACGATGCATCACATCGAATTGTGATGAACCGATGACGTTTCTTAACGTACGATTTAGAAAAGAAAATATCAAATACTACAATAGTAGTATATGTATAAATATAAATCCACATAGACGGATAGATAGAAATAGTCGGTCTCGATAGTTTAGCGGTTTAACACATCGCTTTATTTCCGAAGGTCGCGGGTTCTATTCCTCGCACGCTACAAACATTTGTATTCATTTGTACGATGATGATCAGTCTGGGTGTTCTTTATGTATAACTGTATATTATGTATGTTCTTACGAAAAAAGTATCAATGTACTTGTATCAGTTGTCTAGTACCCATATCACAAACTCTGCTTAGCTTGAGACTAGATGGCAGTGTGAATGTAAAAAAAAGTATGATATCTTTTATACAATTAGATATTATCTCGTAACAGTCCATTTCATTACTTAACGTATTTATATAATTTTGTTTATATACGCTACCATTAGCTTGTGTGAGACCACAAATATTCAACGCTAAAACCTGACTACGACTACTGGAAATACGACCTTGTCTACTGGTGATCAAATTCTGATGATTATTTTACACACATTCACCATACACCGTCAGGCATAGAATAGAGATCAACTATATAATAAGCCTAGAGTTGGCTGTTTAGCTAAGCTGAGAGGTGCTCTTATTGACCTGTCGTAGTCGTAATGAGTCGGAATTAAACAATACAATATAAATACATTAAGTAAAGAAATGTGATAATTTATATTATACAAATTTTAAGTATTACTGAGAAAATGCGCCTAGAAAATCCATTTCACTACTTACACCTCTCCAAAGTGTAAGTCAAAAACACTAGTCTACTGCATTGCTATAATATTTTCTAAGGCGCTTTAAATATAACATGAGTAAAACTTACTTTACATTTAATATTTACTAAGCTAGTAATGCAATGTAAATTATTATGAAACAATTTCGACTTTAATTAAAAAAGAGGGAAAACTAACATATCTACATACGGGGATAAATGAAATCGAAAAACATATTAGACTAATCCAATTGGGGAAAAAAGAAAGACAAACAAAATTAAATGGTATAGTTGTAGGCACATAGAAGAAGAGTTTGTTTATTTGGGATACAAACAAAGCTGTAGTAGCTAAATTAACGTGACTTAAACATAGCAAAACCAACATCTGTATCTGATATCCTATTATTATTTTTATATTTTTACCACTTACTGATTAATATTTTTAATAGGGTTTTCTAAAATTTAAGGTATGACAAATGAAATACACCCATATCAGAAAAATATGGGTTACATACATCAACAAGAAGAGTTCACGGAACAAATATTTATCTACCCCAAATGTAGATTACTATGCACTTGTTTTTCTCCAAAACTCTTGTTTGGTAGTAATCTTGTTTGTCATAAAATATAGTTTAATATTAATAAGATATCATAAGATTTAATAATAAACTGCCGCAATATATACATTTTTGGTAATCAACTTTATGTGTAAATGAATAGAGTCGAATTCACATTTTTATTTTTAATCAAAACAATGTTCAAAGCACACGATAGATCCATATGTGGAACAATGTTACAACTCGACAAATAACTAACTCATCCGGAATACGCAAATTGACCTTTAGTGATAGCTTGTGACTCTGTAGTTTTATATATGTATTTGTTGTTCTTTTTGTGTGTCTTTAGCTGCCTTTACACGTACGCCCTTTCACGCGCGAATTGTTTTACACGCGGAAAAAAGAGTACGCGTATCTAAAGTCAGAGAAAAAGAACGAGAAAGAGCGTGCATTCGCCGTTAGATGCATTCCCGCGTCTTTCAATCGCGATTCGTGCGTGCTTTCGCGCCTTTTTGTAATAATTAACATTGCAAAATGGCGGACAGCGGACTACGCAGCAAAATCATAATTATAGATATACTAGCTGTGTCCGCGATTTCTCCTGTATGAAATTTATAACCTATGTGTTATTGTCATGTATAAACTATATTAATGTAAAGTTTCATCATAATCCATTCAGTAGTTTTTGTGTGAAAAGGTAACAAACATTCATACTCTACACTAGGAAAAAAGTATGTGGAATATAAAATAACTTTTTAAAATAATGTGAAATGACAAACTCACACGCAATCACTGGCGATAGAGTGTACTCAAAAATGATAAAAGCAATCAATCGCGATTACGCGCGCTGCTTTCCCGCGCACCATCGCGTGCGGTTCTGATCGCGCGTGAAAGGACGTATAGTGTAAAGGCAGTTTTTTAATGTTTTTTAACGCTTTTAATTATTCATTTTTGAAAAAGGGAAAGTAGGGAACGACCATTTGTTTCAACACCTTCGTTCTTCTACTGAAACTCACTTACAAAGCGAGCCGCGTGACAGCTGGTATAGACAGAAGTGGCGAGAGATACCCAGACGACTTTTTACAAAGACTGGATCTCCTTTTAGATAATTTTATGTGAATCCATCGAGCATTCACTAGTGATGGTGTATCAATAAACAAAACACTTCTTATCAATATGCCACATTGATAGAAAGGTCAAAGATCCCGTTCTGCCAAATATTGTACTTACAACAATCTTTTATATCTGTCACTCTTAAAATTTATATTCATATGAACACGCAAAATGTGGAAGCAGATATTTTTATTGTGCACCTATGGATTCACAAAATCTGTGAGTATATGTGTAGTTTTTCATTTTTTTTTTCGTTCGTTCTAATGCTGTTCGCCGCAGTTGGCCTTTACAGCTTCTCCGGACGATAGGGGACGGATGCAGACGATGATGATGATGATGATGATGGTGATGCTCGGTTCACCTCGATCCCCCTTCGAAATGGAAGGGAATCCGAAAATTTCGTATTGTATGTATTTTGTACGATAATGAAACCTTCAACATCAGAGGTTATTCCGTTTTAAAAGGACGACAATATACTAGCAATTCCTCTGGTGTTGCGGGTGCTCATAGGCGGCGGTAAACACTTACCATCAGGTGAGCCGCATGCTCGTTTGTCCCCTGTGTTATAAAAATATATATATATGTTTTTTAAATATCTAAAAAATAAACTGTTAGGGGTGGACAACCCGTATCACTTAGGGGTATAAAAATAGATAGTAGCCAATTCTCAGACCTACTGAATATGCATATAAAATTACATTAAAATCGGTCAAGCCGTTTCGGAGGAGTAAGGTAACTAACATTGTGACACGAGAATTTTAAACTTCATTTCCAGCTAACCACTTCCTTCGACCTTGGAGGTGTTTTGTCCGGTAATCGAATGGCTGGAGTGCCTCTTGGCTACTCGCTTGGTGACGGCGAGCTGGACGTGGAGGGCATATGCTCAGAAGCCGGTATCACTTGTCAGAACTGCACACACGCTGTCACTTGTGTACCCTTACCAGTAGGGTGGTTGAAGGTATGTAGTTATGTCTGACGACCTTGGTGGTCTAGTATTTTAACACACCGTTTTGCGTCCGATGGTCGCGGGTTTGATTCCTCGTACGGCGCAAACATTTGTATTCATGAGTATGATTGTTTGTGTCGGTCTGGGTGTTTTCTATGTATGTATGTATTTACGAAAAATATATATATATCTATGTATATGTATCAGTTGTCTAGTACCCATGACACAAGCTTTAGCTAGCTTAACTTGGGTCTAGATGGCGCTGTGTGAATTGTCCTGAGATTATTATTATTATTATAGTTGCCTCTATAATAATCCTGTAATAATAGCAAATTTGAAACAATGATAGACTTTTAAAAAAGTTAGACAAAATATCCTTACTAAAGTAATAAATGTGAAAGTTGGAATGTTTGTTACGCTTTCACGCAAAAACTATTAAACCGATCATAATGAAATTTTGTACACATGTTCTTGGGAGTATTAGAAATAACATAGGACATACTTTTTATTTAAAAAAAATAAATATTTTTTATAAAAACAAAAAATAAAATATCAACATATTGCTTTGTACTCGCCGTTAATATTTCATTCATTCATAATTTAAGAGCTACGCTCTTGTCGGTGGAGCTCTTGCCACTTTCCGTGATCTTCCATCATGCTCTTTAATTCTTGATACGACACGACTCCCATTTTGTCCTCAATTTGTTTGATGTAGCTATTCCTTGGTCTTCCCCTCCCCCTCTTTCCTTCTATTTTCCCCTCAATAATAATTTTCATGAAATCATCGTGCCGTATCAAGTGTCCTAACATTTTCCTCGTCTATTTTCTGTTGTGTTCAAGTACTTCTTCGTTTCTTACTTTATCCTTCCAGCTAATATTTATCAGCTTTAAATCAGCGTTAATATTTATGCCGTAATTTTTCCAGTCCAGCATTCCAAACATATCCTCCAACGCGGTTGTAAATAACTTAGGGGATATAACATCCCCCTGTCTTACACCACGCTTCAGGTGGATATGCTTAGTCTGCAGGTTTTGTACTCGGACGGTCATTGTGGCAGCGTTATAGAGACATCTCAGCACTTCGATGTATCGCCAGTCGACTTGGCATCGCTGCAGAGACTCCAGAACAGACCAGGTCTCGATAGAGTCAAAGGCTTTCTCGTATTCAACAAAAGCTAGACACAGTGGTTGATTATACTCTTCTGTTTTCTGTATAATCTGCCGTACTGTGTGGATGTGATCTATGGTGCCATAACCACTTCGACTTTACAGTTATAAATTATTAATCACAATTTTGTTTATATATTTAATATAACAACGTAACATTACGTTTGATTGTTATTAAGGTTATTTTAAAATTATACGTGTTATATAATAAAATTACATTTTAATATATAAAATATAAAAATGACTCAATTATTCTGCAAAGGATTTCAGTATTATAAAGCGAATATTATATTTTTTACAGACATATTTTGTCTAGTGATTTTTTAAACCAAGTAGTTCAAAAATTTCATTGTAACAAAAAAATTAAAAGAAAAAACAGAACACCAGTAGTATCAAAAATAGTGCAGTGGAAAAATATCGATTATGTAAAATAAATCGTATATAAATAATATACTTATTATCGATTATTATTCTATGGAAAACATTGGATTTTCGTACATAATCACATCCCTAATTCTTTCCTTCCTTCTCAGTTATACCTTTTTTTTAATGTTTACAGTTACCGTTGATGCAGTGTAGGAATGGCACCACGTGTAATGCTAAACTTGGGCTCTGTTCCACGGACCACGTGCCTGAATGCAACACCAGGCTGAGGACATACGAACATATATGTGAACAGGTAAGCATATTTTTCTTTATCACTAAATTATCGCACGAGAGTTGTAGGTTACTATGTGTATATATATTTATATATAAAAATTACGTGTCACGTTGCTTGTCCGCGATGGACTCCTAAACTACTGAACCGATTGCAAATTTGATTTGCACGTTGTGTGCAATTTGATCCAACTTGAAAGATAGGATAGGTTACATCTCAATTTATAGTCGCAATATCATTTACAAGAACCTTAGCCACAGCAGCGCGTGGGCGGGTCTACTAGTTATTATTATAACTATCCTTTCTTTCAGTCCATTAATGCGTTATCTACCACCTTCTGCCATTTCTCCTCTTTCAAATATTATCTGTATGAGATTGCGAGATATATGTATTTAATTTCAGAAAGATTTTATTATATGTCTCAGAATTATACACAGCGCCATCTAGTCTCAATCTCAGCAACGCTTCTATTATGGATATTGAATCTAGACCGATACAAACAATCATACTCATGATTACAAATATTTGCACCGTCCAATTCGAACCCGCGACCATCGTAAGTAAAGCGTTGTGCTAAACCACTAGACCAACGTCTTTCAAAGTAATAAATAAATTAAAAAAATTATCAGCAACTAACCGTGTCCGATGCAGACAGCGCTATCTGATTGAGCCAGTGTGAGATAGAGACAAAAGATCTGTCTGTGTATCAACGAGCGGATTACTTAGTGTAATCTATTATTCACGTATATATACCTATTGTTTCGTTTGTTATACTTCAGATCACTAATGGATAGAGGTTAATGTCTTCCTTGACATTTCGTAGCTTCATAAAACAAAGGCAAAACTCATTTATGAATTGTATACAAATTACACTTTACACATTAAAATAATAATTATTATTATTGTCTTTTATTCATTTTATATATTTATTTAATTCACTATATCTTATACATACATATATCTATTATAGATATATAATAAATTGTAACAGAATATGTAAATAAAAGAGACAGATCATAGATATTATTGAGAATAGGCGGGGAAAAATGTTGAGGCACTTGATACGACACGACGAACTAATTAATAACATTATTGAAAGAAAAATAGATGGAAAGAGAGAAATGGGAAGACCAAGACACAGCTATATCAAGCAAGTTAAAGAAAAAGTTGGAGTCGTGTCGTATCAACAGCTAAAGGGACTGATAGAAGATCGTGGAAGGTGGCGGGAGCTCCACCGACAAGAGCACAGCTCTTAAATTATGAATGAATGAATGTAAATAAATTTGTCTCTATGGTCACGGCACTGACGACGGCAATCTGCCACGGTGGCGTCGATAGATGGGGCTAGTCCTCCTTCATGAAGGTGGGCAGCATGTTGGTGGGGACCCGGGCCACGAACGCTTTGAAGCTCGCGTTGTGACTCGATTTCAGCTGCGTCACCCTCAATGTCAGGTTATTTTTCAACCGGATGTAGTCAACAATGTCCTGTTCCTTGATGGCGTAGTGTAGGCGGGACAGGTACATTGCCGTGGTCGGTTTTGCGGCACGTATTTAGCACGTGGCACGTGCTAAACGTGCACTTATAATAAAACTAACTGTGCCTGCAATTTCGTACTCGTGGAATAGTGACCTTCACTAAAATAAAAAAAAATACTCAATAATCTAATCCAAAAAGGGCCATAGAATATACATCGTTCCAGCTTCAAAAATGACCCTATAATGATGAAACTTTTCTATGGCTTTTTTGATACTTGCATTTTACCTTTTATTATACCCCCCTTATAATATTTTTTTTAGAAATTTTGAATGTTATATTCATTTATCATTATCATTACATAGTATAAAACAACGTCGCTGTCACTGTCTGTCCGTCCCTATGTATGTTTAAATCTTTAAAACTACGCAACGGATTTTGAAGCGGTGTTTTGATAGAGTGATTCAAGAGGAAGGTTTATATAATACCCGTGTGAAGCCGGGCCGAGTAGCTAGTATTTAATAAACTGCTTAAAAAATAGGTTCGAGCTTCTAACTTTAAACAGGACGATACAAACGTTGATCTCCCCTTCCCCTTTTTTATTTATATTATTTACTTATTTACTCAACATCCTAAAAAATAAGTTTCAAGCTCCTAGCTTTAAAAATGACGATACAACTTTTCATCTCCTCTTTCAACCCTTTCTTTGCTTTAAAAGTAGCCTATGTCCTTTTTCAGGCTTTATCATATCTGCCTACTAAATTTCATTTTAATCAGTAGTTTTGGCCTGGACGTGGCGACAGACAGAAATAGTTATTTTACTGAATGACTTTTCTTTTAATTTAATGGTAGTTTTAAGTTACTTTCATATGCGTTTAATAAAAAGCAAATAATTTTTCAAATTCAAATTCAAAAATCATTTATTCATGTAGGACTTTTTAGCCGCTTATGAACGTCAAATTTTTACATTATAATTTTATTTTTTCCCTACCGTCCAGTTCGGTATATAGATCCAATTGAGAAGAACTGGCAAGAAACTCAATTGAATTACTTTTTTTTTTAAAGCCAGTTTATTTACAATGTATTTTATATAGGTGTCTAACATTATGTGTCTAACATTAAATGAAAATTCAGTGCATGAACAACTATTGCCATGCACACTCGTCATTCAAGTAATCGTTTAGTGAGTAATAGGCTTTGCTCAGTAAATATGATTTAACAGATGTTTTGAATTTATTTAAGGGTAATTCCAACATATCCTTTGGTATCTTATTGTAAATTTTTATACCTAATCCCATAAAAGACCTATTAACTTTTTCTAAACGATACTTGGGGACAGCAAGTTTGTCTTTAAATCTAGTATTAATATTATGAATATTGCTGTTTTTTGGAATTTGAAATTACAAACAGATACTTATACTTAGTTTTTAATTACTAATACTACTACTTAATATTATTATTTAGCTGTCCCTCGCAACTTTGTGTGTGTCAGATTTCTTTCATTTTTGCTACATTTTTCATTATAGCTCCTATTAATCGTAGCGAGATGTTATATAGCATATGGCCTTCCTTAACGAATGGGCTATCCAACACTGAAAGAATTCAAAATCGGTTCAGTAAATTCAGTGATTCAGAGATTACTCGTTACAACCTTAGAAACTTTACCTCATAATAAGGGTTTCTTAAGGGTTGTAAACGCGCACGTGATACCCCTGGTGTTTCAGGTGTCCATAGGCTACGGTGACAGTTTACCATCATATAGGTCGTATACTTGTTTACCACCGCCGTAGTATACCAGGTATGTTGGGGAAAAAGGGAATTGTTAGTAATGTGGACTGATGATCTTATTGCTACCAATGTACCATGTCAGATTGACCTCCACAAGATTCCCCCTGTAAACCAACGTAATAAATTCTCGGTGAATTTGTCACGATGGGCTAACTGAGTTGACCTCATGCACATATTATCGTCTTCTACTGGTGCCCCACCAGCATAAACCGTTAGCGCAGGCGGGTTCACCATTCCATTATTATAAATAAAAAATACTAGGTTTCTTACCGGTGTGTTGTTTACACACCAGGTCAAATGTTGAGTGGAGCACGTTTAGTCTTAAAAAGACCTTGACCGATCGTAATTGCTTTGAGTAGTAAACAATGGAAGCCCGAAGGTCGACCTTCGATGAAATTTTGGTCTCCCCAAACTATTGTAGGGGCTGGTCTACTCTAATCGCTACAACTACTTTACTCTTATTTAGATGCTCAACCAGTTGGTTATATATTCAATATTTTCTCTATTTAAGTATTTACACACTTCAACTAAAAAATGTAAAGTAACAATAAAATTATTTAAAAGAGCGACGCGCAAGTTTCTTTCTCGTTCTCCTTGTGAAGAGACAGCCTTCTGAATGAGCGGTAGATTAAAAAAATAATGTGATGACTGTTCAAAAGTGATTCAATGTAAGTTTATTTGAATAAATGATTTTCTATTCTATTCTATTCTTTTTGTCAGCTCTTTTGGTCAAGCCGTTACAAAGAGTGCAAATCTGATCTCAAAGATTGCTACGAGCTGCGCGCTGAAGAAAAAATTCTATAATCATGATGATTGTAAACAAATCATTACTTGCACATTTCCGATAGTGGATGACGGTGCAAACTGACAGGAATGACAATCAATTGGTACAATCATACTGATGGTACAGTCAGATAGCAGTGTAAAGTGATATGAAATGTCAAGGGTGTAAAACCTTGCGTTTCCGGTTAACTCTAATAATATCTGAATGTGGATTTTATACGCTTTTTGTCTTGTTAAATCATTAAAATTTTTTTTAATGGATATACAACCAACTGGTTGAGCGACTAAATAAGAGTAAAGCAGTCGTAGTGATTAGAGCAGATCAGCCCCTACAAAAGTTTGGCTAGATAAAAATTTCATCCAAGGTCGAACTTAGATGAAATTTGTATCTCGCCAAACATTAATGACCATGAATTTTTTAATCTACTGCTCAATCAGTATGCTGTCTCATCACAAGAAGAACGAGAAAGAAACTTGCGTGTTACTCTTTTAAATAATTTTATTGTTACTTTACATTTTTAAGTTGAAGTGTGTAAATACTCAAATAGAGAAAATATTGAATATACAACCAACTGGTTGAGCAACTAAATAAGAGTAAAGCAGTTGTAGCGATTAGAGCAGACCAGCCCCTACAGAAGTTTGGTGAGATCAAAATTTCATCGAAGGTCGACCTTCGGGCCTTCATCGTTTACCACTCAAACAATTCCGATCGGTCAAGATCTTTTTAGAATAAACGCGCTTCGCTCAACATATGACCTGGTGTGTAAACAACACACTGGTAACAAACCTAGTTTTTTTTATTTATAATAATGGAATGGTGCCCCCGCCTGCACTAACGGTTTGCGCTGGCGGATCATCAGTGGAGGATGATTAGATGAACATGAGGTCAGGACAGTTAGCGCATCGTGACAAATTCATCAGGAATTTATCACGATGGTTTCCAGGGGTAACTGCGTGGAGCTCATCCTGACATGGTGCATTGCTAGTAATGGAGTCATGAGTCCACATTACTAATAATCAATTTCCCCTCCCCCTTACTAATATTATATATGTGAAAGTGACTGTCTGTCTATCTGTCTGGCTTTCACGCGAGAACTACTGAACCGATTTAAATGTTTGTGGTCTAGCGGTTTAGCACACCGCCTTACTTCCGATTCATGGGTTTGATTCGCATGTGCAAACCTTTGTATTCATAGGTACGATTGTTGGTATTGTCTATGTATTTTCTAACAATTGTCTTGTATACATAACACAAGCTTTGCTTGATTTAGTCTGTTTGACAAAAATAATCTACATTGAAATGTACCAACAAACAAAATCAGTTTTCACGCAAAAATTACTGAAGGGATTTTCACGAAACTTTACAGTAATACACATATATGTTTACAGTATACACATGTATGCTTATACATCAAAATAACATATACACTATAATATAAAAATATATGATGTAAATTAATAAGTAAAAATAAGTAAATTGGTCGAGAAAGAATGATAAATGTCAAGTAAGTGTAATGCAGGTAGCATTGCCACACGTCCCGTATTTCCCGGGACGTCCCGTATTTTAGACTTAGTTTAAAATGTCCCGGCGGGACTAACTCTGTCCCGTATTCGAATCTGTAATTTAATAAAAAGCAAGTTGATATGCGTTTTTTAATTACGATTATTGATTTTTATAAATATTTAAAAACCAATAATAATATGTTATAACTATGTTCTCAGAAAAATATATAAAAAAAATAAAGTATGTCACTATATAATTTCATTTGTCCGGGTATAAAACTAAATTCCCGTATTATTAAACGTTTGCCATTTATAGGCTGAAAAAAATCTGGCAACTCTAAATGCAGACGAAGTTGCACGCGTCAGTTAGTTATGTAATAAATAAAAATAAATGACGTAGAAATTATATTTAATTCTCTGCTAATCGCCAACTTGGCGCGACCCAAGGGGACCCAAGGTCGCGCCAAGTTGGCGATTCCCCTATAAAAACTATAATTAGCCAATTTCAGGACTTTGCGGCTAACTGGGTCAATCCTTGGGATCGTTATTATGCCTACACGTGTTGCAAAACTGCGTAATTTAGACAGGACCTCCTAACATTTAGGCTATATAGCAGAATCCGTACCTATACATACAAACAGCTATACTTTAATATGTGTGTACATATATATACATACATATAGATATTAGTCGCTTTCCAGATCTAGACATATTTACTTGTAATTTGCTGGAGTTTCGTAGGATGGCAGTAGATTATTTAGGTAGTATGTAAAATGGAGATTAGGTATTATTATTATTATTGTTTTTTTTTCTCATTTGTTTTCTTGTGTAATTAGTGTTTATAATTGTGTGTATTTGTATATTATCTTCTTAAGTGGGCATATTGGGAGACTATAAAGCTCACTTAGTACGATGTAAATAAATAAATAAATAAATTATTGGAAATAGGAGAATTCGACTTTAAATAAAATATACAAATATATTAAAACCGCTACTCGCCCCGGCTTCGCACGGGTGTACATGTATTATATATATAAACCTTCCTCTTGAATCACTCTATATTAAAAAGGACAATGCTGCAGAGAGTTTTAATTTAAAATCACTATTATGCTATCCACAATAAGGGTAGGTTTCCCTTATTGTAGACTGTATAAAAGTGATTATTAAAATTTATTGATTTACTAGCTACTCGCCCCGGCTTCGCACGGGTGTACATGTATTATACATATAAACCTTTCTCTTGAATCATTCTATCTATTAAAGAAATCCGTTGCATAGTTTTAAAGATTTAATCATACGTAGGGACGGACAGACAGCGATAGCGACTTTGTTTTATACTATGTAGTGATGATAATGTTTACGGCATAAGAAAAAATCCTGAGATATAAAATTGACATATTCTACAAAAATGTAGAAATAATTCATTATATGATGCATATATGAAGCATTATAATTTCGATAACAGATATATAAATATATGTTATTGTCTGCAGCTAGCCTTTACAGCTTCACCGGACGATAGGGGGCGAGTGCAGATGGCACTCCAAACGCGAAGGAGGACTTATGGAGCGGCTGAAGGCCAACTCCTTCATGACGGATATGACTTTAATCTGAGGGCACCGCTAGGGGTTACTTTTAATGGATGTTAATGGAATAATGCACTCACATGCGCTAACGGCCTTCGCTGGCGGGGCACCAGTGAAGGCTGATAAGATGATCACGAGGTCAGGTCAGTTAGCCCATCTTGACAAAAACACCAGGAATTTATCAAGATGGTATCCAGAGGGAACTGCGTGGAGATAGACATGGTACTTTGCTAGAAATAAGTTCATCCACATTACTAAAACAAAAGTAACACTATTTATTTATATAACACTAAAGAAAGAATATTAACACTAAAGAAACTTATTCTAAATTTAGTAATGACATATTGTAATTTAAATAAACTAAATTAAATATTGTAATGTGTGAAAACTGTGATTGGTACAGTTTATGCTGTAAATAATATAAATGACGTAGTGGAGTAACTTGAAACAGTCATGCTCGCTATAAAGTTCAAACTTGTGGCGGCGTGGTGGGCCGGGTCGATGTGCTCCCTCTAATATGGTTGAGTGCAATGATGGCTGGCTCATCCGTCATACTCGTGAACGGGTGCTGCTAGTGGGTACTGGTCTGTTCAGGTTGCGAACACTGATTAGATTTTTTGATTTTTTTTATATAGCGTATGCTGGTGGTCACTCTATTCTCCCAAATTTGAATTTAAATAAAATAGTATTATTGTAAATATGTACAACATTAAAAAAAAAACGAGCTGAGTTTCTTGTCAATTCTTCTCATCTCGAAATCATACCGAACTGACGGTAGATTTGACATATCATAAGAGTCTGTAATAGACCTACATGAATAAAGATATTTTGAATTCGAATTTGAACAATCTCCTTTTCCCCCACGTCGTAATTGCGATCCACGTTTGAACTGGACGGGGGATCGATCGGAGGCCGTTTTTAAGCGCATACTAACTAGAATGCAAATATAATGCGTCAAACCGCTTGAATAGTTAACCTTGGTGGTCAAGCGGTTTAGCACACCGCCTTACTTCCGATGGTCGCGGGTTCGATTCCTCGCACGGCACAAACATTTGTATTCATTAGTATGATTGTTTGTATCGGTCTGGGTGTTTTCTATGTGTAATATTTATGTAATTACAAACAAAATCTATGTATCAGTTATCTAGTACCCATGACAAGCTTTAGCTAGCTTAACTTGGGTCTAGATGGCGCTGTGTGAATTGTCCTGAGACTGTTATTAATAGTAGGTATTATTAAATCATAAAACTATCTCTTGAACAGGTTGGCATATTCCCTGATGCATTCGACTGCAGGAAGTTCCACCTCTGCTCACCACCAGAAGGACTACCTGATGGAAGGCACGCTGAAAGGAGAACTGCATTTTGTCCACGACATTACGCCTACAATCCATACACAGCACAGTGTTCGGTAAGAGTCGTTTATTTCTTTCTTTCCTGATCATGTGACCTTTGAAAGCAAGTAGTCTACTATAATAAAAACTGTAGGAGTTGTTCCTACACTTGTTGATAATGATAATTGATAGTGACGGCAATAGCACCCCAGGTCTTGTGCTGAAAAACAGCGTTGCAGCGCTCCAGCAAGATAAAATTATGATAAGAGATGTCTCATCTCTTATCATAATTTTATTATAATTTTATCTTATTTATATTATGTACCCGAAAGTTTGTGAGTATGAATGTTTGATAATCTTTCACGCAGAAACTACTAAACGGATTTTGTTCAAACTGTACAGTGATATAGCTTATACATCTGAATAACACATAGTGTATAATTTCACGCGAGTGAAACCTGGGGCACAGCTAGTATTATATAATACTAATTTACAAAACTCCTGCAACTTACAGGTAAAACTACCCAAAGGCCAATGTACAGAAACTCCCGTGCCGGAATGCAAGAGAATCGGCCAAACAGGTGCTATTCGGTACAGCCCCAACCATTACTACGTTTGCCTATCGAAACATGGCCGTATATACCCGCAGATATTCCTCTGCCCCAACGGCTGGTTCTTCTGGGAGGGGTTCTGCCGTTCCCAACCACCCATCGAGAAGATCACAGAAGAACCTGCCACAGTTAAAGCGGAGACTACTACAGAAGAAGAAGCATTGTCTAGAGTAGATAGCTTTTTCTCTACAGAAAGAAGTACGACTTATGAAGCCGATACATTTTTAGCTGACAAATTCGATCTCTCAAACTACGAGTCGGTGGACGAGGTACCCACTAGTGATGACTTCGTTAACTCATATGAGAGTGGTTTCGGCAGCTGGTGAAGTATTTGAGACACAATAATTTCTTATAAATTATAATTTAATAATGATATCAATAATAAAAATATTGTACACATTTCATTGAATTTTTAATTAATAATATATAAATGATTCATGTAGATATCTGAAAATAACATAAAGTCGCCATTTACATCTGTCTGTTTCTCCACTTACTTCTAAAACACGCAATAGATTTTAATAAGGACAACATCTAAAATAAATAGCTTTTTCTCTACCAAAAGGAGTACGACTTATGGACCGAATACATTTTTGGCTGACAAATTCGATCTCTCCAATTACGAGTCAGTTGACGGGGTACTCACTAGTGATGACTTCGTTAACTCATATGAGAGTGGTTACGGCAGTTGGTGTAATATTTGAGAAATTATAGTTTCTTATAAATTATAATTTAATAGTTATATCAGCAAATATATTATAAAGTATTTCAAGTATATATCTGAAAATATCTGAATGTCGCAGTTTTAGGCTATCTTTTTCTACACTTACTTCTGAACTATGGATTTTAAAACAGACAAAACGTCTAAAATCTAGCTTTTCTCTACTGAAAGGAGTACGACTTGTGAGGCCGATACATTTTTGGCTGACAAATTCGATTCGATTCTCTAATTACGAGTCGATTGACGCTGTACCCACTAGTGATGACTTCGTTAACTCATATGAGAATGATTTTGGATGTTGGTGGAGTATTTCAGAAACATTATTGTCTTATAAATTATGAGTTAATAGTTATATTAACATTAATTATACTGTACACTCATTACTGCCTTTATAATTAAAAATATTACAAGTATATATCAGAAATTAGCATAAAGTACGATGTACAAAAAAAATAATTATAATGATTTATTTCCATGTAATAGATCAAATAATACTTGTCTTGTATCTTAAAATCCTGTACACATGAAGAGTCAAGGTATACAGCAAGTAAATAATAAAATGTAATTAACATTTCGCAAATGGAACACAAAGATGGCGTCGCGTACAGTTATCAAAATCTAATTCAGTCATCTTCCCAGAGGTATTCACGTCCGAAACAATCGCAGATGTTAGTCCGCTAGACCTTTGTCCCTGAATGGCACAAAACCGGAGTTATCGCGAAATCTCTACTAAGCCTGGCAGACTTGTTGTATGGCTCAATGAATACGCGATGAGCGGACGACTATAATATTTTTGATTTATACCCATTGAATAATTATTGCTTATTTTTTGTAATGAAATATAAAGAGCGGGATGCTGAACTGATTCAAGCATTGCTTTTTTATTAGATGATATCAACACCATATTGTACGCTTTTGTTTTCTAACTTACCCGTGACGCTTTAATGAATGCGCACTATCAAACGATTTTAGAAAAGTTTATGATTATGATACTTTATGAATATATGAATATACTTTATGAAATTTTAGAAAACTTTATGATTATTTTAACTTCACGTTAAAATAATCATAAAGTTTTCTAAAATTTACATTTCGAGAAACGATATTGCACAAACAAAGAACAAAGTATGAAGCAAGAGACAGAGACTCTTCGAAGCTTTTGGAGAGGGCTTTAGCAGCTAAAAACGGTCCTTGTTTTTAAAAATAAATATAAATATGTCTTCTGTAATTTTTTTTGTTTTCCTAACAACTAAATAGAACGCTATATTACACGCTAAAATAAATACCCTGGACTATCTATTTACATAAATACTTACATATATTTTTTTGTAAACATCATACTCATGAATACAAATGTTTGCACCGTGCGAGGAATGGAATCCGCGACCATAGGAACTAAAGCGATAATTAAACCGCTAGACTACCGTGGTCGTGAAATCATTTTACAATCAAGACAAGGTAAATTAATTATTGTAATTACTCCTAGATCACCGAGGCCGTCAAAAATATTTCTTTACGAGCATGATAAGATAAACTAATTATTGTAATAAGGCTGATCGCTTTCAACTTGTACCACACAACATTAGTGCAGGGCTAACGGTGTAAAAAACAAAAACCTCTGACATTAGAATTGCATCAGAGTTTGGTGCGATTCGGCGCGTGGGAATCTATCTATAAACGCATATAGTTCTTCAATTGTTTGTTACATACCTGCTTCAAGAAAAATAAAACCGGTAAATTGCGAATTGGCTTCGCACACCGACGGTTCCGTACAATTAATGTACATAGGTATATATTATATATTTAAATATATATCTAAATATATATAACTCAAAGGTGATTTACATAGTGACCTATCAACGCACAGCCCAAACTGCTGGACAGATTGGGCTGAAATTTGGCATGCAGGTAGATGTTATGACGTAGGCATCCGCTAAGAAAGGATTTTGATTAATTATACGCCCAAGGGAATAAAATAGGGGACGAAAGTTTATATGAAAATTTGTTAATTTTAAACCGATCGGGCTGAGACTTTGCATGCATAAAGCTACTATGACGTAGGCATCCCCTAAGAAAGGATTTTGATGAATTCCACCCCTAAAGGGATAAATTAACGCGAGAGAAGCCGCGTGGAAAAGCTAGTTCAATATATAATATTCTCGTGCCACGGTGATTGTTACCAAACTCCTCCGGGATGGCTTCACCGATTTTTATTAAATTTTGTATGTACATCGAGTAGGTCTGCGAATATATCTCGGTCTATTTTTAATACCACTCAATGATAAGGATGACCCACTACAATTTTTTTTTTTTTATTATTTTACTTTTTTTTTAATTTAGTCAGTTTTAGCATTTAAAAGTAAATACAATTTCAAATTTCCACTCTTTCTACCATGAAGCTCTAATATTTAGTGGTATATTTATTTATATAAAACAAACTTTGCCGTTTGACAGATGAACGGGCTGGCAATGTCACACAATAAGGGTTCTTATTCAACTTTTTTAAATCTGAACCCTAACATTCGATAGGAAAACACCAATTTATGCCACAAGCGTTATTTTTTTGACCTTTGCAGCGATTGATTTGAAATCACATAGAATAAATGTTAAATAGTTTTCTTGAATCGATCGATTAAAACAAGAATCAATAAGCTACGGCACAGATAACATAATATTACAGTAACCGTTTACCGTCAGATGGGCAGTATGCTTGTTTGCCACCTACGTAGTATAAAAAAAAGTTAAGACTGAAATATAGAAACGATCATAGTAATAATAATAATAATCTCAGGACAATTCACACAGCGCCATCTAGACCCGAGTTAAACTAGCTAAAGCTTGTGTTATGGGTACTGGATAACTGATACAAATACATAGATTTTTTTGTCGTAAATATGTACATACATATTGTACATAGAAAACACCCAAACAATCATATTCATGAATACAAATGTTTGCGCCGTGCGAGGAATCGAACCCACGACCGACGGACGACATTTAATACCAAACTAAGCAGATACTATGAGATATAATATCAGGGAAGTGGGGTAAAGGGGATCGTTAGTAATGTGGGCTGTTGACGTCATTGCTAGCTATGAGGTTGTTTTTTTTTTGAGGGTTGATAATGGAATGGTGCACCCACATGCGCTAACGGTATACGCTGGCCGGGCACCGGTGGAGGATGATAAGATAAACATGAGGTCAGGTCAGTTAGCCCATCGCGACAAATTCACCACGAATTTAACACGATGGTTTCCAGGGGGAACCGCGTGGAGATAGACCTAGTACTACTAGATAGTAGGAGGAAAGTATATTATTAGTAATATGTTCTGTTGATCCCATTTCTAGCAAATTACCTCCACGCGGTTCTTCTTGGAAACCGTCAGAACAAATTCTTGGAGAATTTGTCAAGATAAGCTAGCTGATCTGATCTCATGTACATCTGATCATTCTCCACTGGTGCCCGGCCGGCGTATACCGTTAGCGCAGGCGGGTGCACCATTCCATTATCTAAATATATATAACTCAAAGGTGACTGACGTAGTGATCTATCAACGCACAGACCAAACTACTGGACGGATCGGGCTGAAACTTGGCATGCAGGTAGATGTTATGACGCAGGCATCCGCTAAGAAAGGATTTTGATTAATTCTACCCCCAAGGGCATAAAATAGGGGATGAAAATTTGTATGAAACTTTGTCAATTTGAAAACGATCGGGCTGAGACTTTGCATACATAAATCTACTATGACGTAGGCATACCCTAAGAAAGGATTTTAATAACTTCCACCCCTAAGGGGATAAATTAACGCGAGCGAAGCCGCGGGCAAAAGCTAGTTATAAATAAAAAGAACTAGGTTTCTTACCGGTGTGTTGTTTACACACCAGGTCATATGTTGAGCGAATCGCATTTATTCTAAAAAGATCTTGACCGATCGGAATTGTTTTGAGTGGTAAACAATGGAGGCCCGAAGGTCGACCTGAAATTTTGATCTCACCAAACTTCTGTAGGGGCTGGTCTGCTCTAATCGCTACAACTGCTTTACTCTTATTTAGTTGCTCAACCAGTTGGTTGTATATTCAATATTTTCTCTATTTGAGTATTTACACACTTCAACTTAAAAATGTAAAGTAACAATAAAATTATTTAAAAGAGTAACACACAAGTTTTGCCACAGACACGGACAGCCACGGAGGCATCAATCCATTATCGTCCATAAAAAACTTTTTTATTTACATTTCTTCTACATAAACTAAAGTTAATTGTCCTTTAATTATAGATGGTAAGGTAGCCTATTAGAAATGTACAAAAAAAATATATGGTAGCGATCTCTGTCACTAAATCACTTAGGTTCGCGACAACTGGCTCCCAAAATCTCGACCGGCCAATGTCTTCAATGAATATATATCTTGTGAATTAGTGTTAAAAACCCGCTATTATTTACAGTGGTCCGCAACATTTGTTGGGATTATTGTAAAAGAACTTTTATTTTTAAGGGAGCGACGCGGTTTACTACCCCATTTAGTCTCTAAACGGCTACTTAAAAAGAGTTTGTGTCAAAATATTTTTGATTAACTTTTCGGTGATGTAAACACTTCATCATTTTCCTTCATCATTGTATGTTTGTAATTATTTTATTTTCTCCTTTTCCATATTACCTAACCTACCTGTTTGATAATTAAATTCTACAAGGTTGCTCTTTTTCGGACTACTCTAATGCTGTTGGCCGTAGCTGGCCTTTACAGTTTCACCGGACGATAGGGGGCGAGTGCAGATGGCACTCCAAACCAAAGGAAGGACCTGACCGGATCTCTCCCGCCTGACGGATTTGACTTTAGTCTGAGGGGCTAGGGGTTCGATCTGCTCAGGCCGTCGTAATTTCGACCCCCTTTTGAAATTGAATGGGGAATCGATCGGAGGAGTAACTTAAGGTTACCTTCCTTTCAGCTACAAGGCCGTATTGCCATGATTATCGTATACCTACTTCTTTCTTGTTATTGTATATTTATTTATTTAAAGTGACAATTCAAAAGAGCAACACAAAAGTTTCTCGTTCCTCTTGTGATGAGTCTGTGTTCCGAATAAGTGTTAGAATAAAAAATATAACTATTCAAAAGTGCTTATATTGAGTTTATATCTAATTCTATAGTAATTATACATGTATACTTTTTAATTAATTGTATATGAAAACTAAATATATGATATCTTTTTTTTTATATATCATTACAATTCACACAGCGCCATCTAGACCCAAGTGAAGCTAGCTAAAGCTTGTATTATGAGTACTAGATAACTGATACATATACATAGATATTTTTTTTGTAAATACATACATATTATACATAGAAAACACCCAGACCGATACAAACAATCATACTCATGAATACAAATGTTTGTGCCGTGCGAAGAATCGAACCCGCGCCATCGGTCGTAAAGCGGTGTGCTAGACCGCTAGACCACCGAGGTCGATATCTATCTATCTATAAATACGTTATTCTGATTAAGTTTTGCATAAGATACCGTGATGGCACTATAAGAGACTTCGATAAACTTACGTCGAAGCTCTATGACCCGTGAACCTAGCAACGGTAAGTTATTAGCGCTAAGCGGAATCAACCAATTAATTAATTGGAGAATTTATATATATTTATTTTATATATATGTTTTTCTCATATATCTTTAATATACAGACAGCGATCAGTATTTTTTTATATGTAAAGATGATCTTAGTAGTCTAGTACTACGCTAGACCCTCTCATTATCTACGTAGTAATTAAGTATTTATATTTATGTATATAATTTAATCATATAAATTTATAATTAACTATAATCGATTTAAAACTTCTATTTCACAGCACTACTGAAAACAACCGACAAATTAAATTGGGTTCTAATACCTAGTACTTAAGTTGAAACTTAGATGCAGTTGCATCTTACCACTTCCTCGTCATACGCGTGACCTTTCCCATACCCCGAGTATGCAAATAAGGAGTTTACAATTAATAAATCAAACTCTTCCATAGAGACGCGCTGAAGCCACGCAAACATTTGTCAGCCAGAATGCCAAGTTGATTTGGCGCGAATCTGTGCACCGCTATACGATTGCAGCGTGACCAAATAGTTTTGATATTTGTTTAGGGCTTTTTAATTATTATTCCATTATAGAATAGAATAGAACAGAAAATCATTTATTCGAAAAAACTTACATTGATGCACTTTTGAAAAGTCATCACATTTTTTCAATCTACCGCTCATTCGGAAATCTGGCTCATCACAAGAAGAATGAGCTGGTGTTATTTTGCTGAAGTTCATTTCACTATTTTTTATTGAGGGTTTTGGGCTATTGTAAAATACTAAGTCCTGTAACACTACGACATGCATAGATCTTATTGTATAGTAATTTTACTACTTAATAGATTCATATTAGTTTGTTTGATACTGCTATAATTTCCATGTGTGACATCGCAAAAATTCAATGCGGAAATGACTATTGTTACGAACTTATCTAGTGGTGATCAAATTTGAACGTTATTGAGTCTACCCTAGTCTTATTGTGATTGTGATTGTGATATGTGTTTCACCTCTGAACGAGGCACCGTTCCGAACTCCAATGTTCGGAGCTTGGTAGCCTTATTTACTGACTTTGTACAAAGTCATCTACGTGGGCACCTCTGTCTTACTTATTTCAATCACCAAGGATCTTACTTTATATAAAAACTCGTATAAGGCAGTGAGGCACGGAGGCAAGATATCATAGTCATTTAGAATGGCAACGCAGTACCACGTATGTGACATGATAACGTGATACCTGTATGTAGAATGTTTACCACTTACCATCAGGTGGGCTCTCAGTTTGTTTAACATTCCAGTTACATACAAAAATGCTGACAAAAAAACAAGTTCATGATGCAAAAGACCTAGACATTAAAATCATACTAATAGAAAAAAATTTACGTTCATAAGCGGCTAAAATATCCGAGAATAACTTATCCAAAATATGATTGTTGATTAGACTTAATGTAATTTTACACACCGCAATTTTTTATTATTTGCATACATATATGCATACATTACACACTTAATTCCTGGAAATGTCCATTTGGCCACTAACATGTCATAGATTTTGCCCCAGGCATATGCCTGTTAAATTTCTTATTTGTTTCGACTTTAATTGTTTTTTTATTCTTAAAACTTGAATAAATGAAGTAATTATGGTGATAAAATGTTATTTGCACTTTTATAGATTTATTTTATATCGTAAATTAACTAAAAACGAGAAATAATTAAAGGTCACGAATATAGAATTTTAACTTTCCGACTTACTGTTGACCTTACACTTTAATGCAGATAATTAAAATTTGTGCCATTGCGACGCGACGGTTTACAATTGCAAAAAGTTTCATATCATAATTTGTTAAAAAATGGTTAATTATTCCTTTTCTTATTAAATTCAACAAAATAATACTAATCCTAATAAGTAACTAATACTCTAAAGTAAGTTGTTTAAGTTGAAAAAATTAAAACAAAATTTTAAACAACGTACGAAAAAACAGCATGCTTTTTAAAATACAAAGTAATTAACCTAATATAGCGTACTCTTATTTTTATTTCATATCAGCGCCGCATTGCCTGACAACATAATATGGAGATTGTTAAAGTAATTAAAAAGTATCAAGCAACATCGTCCGCGGCATAATTTAACCAACACATTTACCGACAAAGCCGTTCAACAGCACCTCACTACGGTCCATTCATTACGCCGCACCGCACTGCCTTAACCGATGCGATGCACTCGCGACACTAGCCATTCCAAATTTGAAATTTGAAATCGTTTTACTTTTTATACGGCGCCCGCGCGAGATTCCCGTGCCTCTACTCTACATACATTTCTGTCCGCCCGGCTGTCAGATTTGCGCGCCATTTTTTCCGATTGTGTTTTATCTGTGCTAGTTTTATTTCTGTGAATGCACACCGGTTGATCTGTAGGTCTGTTCCGGAGGAAACGAAGGTGAGTTATGTTTATTTATGTTTCAAATGTTTCGCAACAAAATACCTACAAATGACTCAAACATGTAAAATTTTGTTATAATAAGCTTTAAACGTAAAAAGTAAGTAATTATAACTAATTAAGTACTCGTTTTTTAAATACTACAATTTAAACTTTTTTGTCACGGAATTAAATCTAAAATAGATTACTCATTAGGTAAACTTAGCACCTATTTATCTATATCTTATTTACACTGCAATTATTTTCGCGCAGTTTTTAAGAAAAGTTATACATTACTACCTTACGTAGGGACTTTATTTACCCGTTGTACTTGAAGTACTCATGCTAGTATTATAAACGTGGAAGTTTGTAAGTGTGGATGGGTGTTTGTTACTCTTTCACGCAAAAACTACTAAACGGATTTTGATAACCAATACGTCATATTAACACATAGATTACAAAACCTCGCGGGTAGCTTGTGTAATAATAATTAAGTTAGAACAAATGTATGTAGTAATGAGTATCTTTTGTAACATTTGGATTAATATATATTTTCTTTTACACTTTACACGAAGCATCATATTAAAGTAGAGTTGCCAACCATTCTGTTTCCGCAGGACATGTCCTAGTTTCTGAAGTGTCCTGGGAAGTCCTGAATAATTATTTGTCAGCGTCCTGGGTTTTTAAATATGATGTATAACAGTATAATTTTATCAAATACTGTTTATTAAAAACCTGATTATATTATTGATATGTATTTGACTATATATTAATATAACTATTGCAACACTATTACTGCGTTCTGTTTGTAAACTGGATAGACCTCGTATTTTTAACTTTCAACCCTGGTTTTTTTAATTTGGGTATAGGCAACCCTATATTAATGGAATACCATTATTTATAAGTTTATTATATATATTAATATTATAAAGAGGTAAAGTTTTTGTGCTTGTAAGGTGTAATCTCTGGATATACTCATAACCTATTTATTTATAACAATTTTTATTAAAGTATTATTTGCGCAATTTCACCCACTCAACACTTCCCATGACTTCTTGACTGGAAGAGATCTCTTTTAGAGATAAATCCTTATTAACATTATTCCTAATTAATATACCTAAAATGTATTTAAGTGCAATAAATAATATATCGTTGATTAAATAGAATTTTATATAAGTCAATTAAATTAACCGCGCCGTCTTAATCATTATCATATATTATGATATATGATAATGATTAAGATAATGATTAAATACAAATGTTTGCACCGTGCGTGGAATCGAACCGGCGACCATCGGAAGAATAGCGGTGTGCTAAACCATTAAGCCACCGAGGTCGTCGTTGATATGTTTACTATTTAAGAAATTAATATATGTTTTGTTGTGATTACATTATTATCTTTGAATTTATATACAAATATGTGAAATTATCTTTATCTTCATATTAGCGTATAAACAAAAACTTTATTGTGTTATTCCATTAATTGAAGTACAACGAACGGCATCGTCTAGCGGTTTATCACACTGTTTTACTTCCGATAGTCGCAGGTTCGATACCTCGCACACGTCTGGCGGGAGGACGGCCTTTCGAAGATTTTTTCCACATGATAAAAAATTTTCCACAGAATAAAAAAAGATGAGCCGTCATATGGACAAAAAATATTCATTCTTCATACATTTTTACCTTACCTACATTTGTATGAGTTAGGTAGCTGTGCATTTTAGTACTACCTATAGGTATAGGTATAGGTATATATCATATATAGTATATATACTACCTCTTTATTCTCTCTTCTAGTATATATATACATATATAATATATATTACGGGTACAGCTATAAAATATACAAGTGTAGTAGGTCCCTAAACGAATGACCGTCATAACTGCCTACCATACAATTATTAGCCATAAAATGGTGACCTGAGTATATTATTTTAAATCGATGTACACATTAAGAAACACCGTCTCATAATGAGGATTAGACGATTAAACGACTAAAATGCACAGCTACCTAACTCATACAAATGTAGGTAAGTAAAAATGTATGAAGATTGAATATCTCTTGCCCATATGACGGCTCATCTTTTTTTCATTCATTCATTCATAATTTAAGAGCTACGCTCTTGTCGGTGGAGCTCTTGCCACTTTCCGCGATCTTCCATCATGCTCTTTAATTCTTGATACGACACGACTCCCATTTTGTCCTCAATTTGTTTGATGTAGCTATTCCTTGGTCTTCCCCTCCCCCTCTTTCCTTCTATTTTCCCCTCAATAATAATTTTCATGAAATCACCGTACCGTAGCAAGTGTTCTAACATTTTTCCTCGTTTTTCTTTTTTTATTCTGTGGAATTTTTTTTATCATGTGGAAAAAATCTTCGAAAGGCCGTCCTCCCGCCAGAGGGGTGCGAGGAATCGAACCTGCGACTAGTGGAAGTAAAACGGTGTGATAAACCGCTGAGAGTGAATATTTCTTGCCCATTTGACGGCTCATATTTTTTTATTCTGTGGAAAAATGTGCGAAAGACCGTCCTCCCGCCAGCGAGGTGCGAGGAATCGAATCTGCGACTATCGGAAGTAAAACAGTGTGATAAACCGCTAGACGAGACCGTTCGTTGTACTTCAATTAATGCAATAACACAATAAAATCTTTGTTTATACGCTAGTATGAAGATAAAGACAATTTCACATATTTGTATATAAATTCAAAGATAATAATGTAATCACAACAAAACATATATTAATTTCTTAAATAGTAAACATATCAATGACGACCTCGGTGGACTAATGGTTTAGCACACCGCTTTTCTTCCGGTGGTCGCAGGTTCGATTCCTCGCACGGTGCAAACATTTGTATTCATGAGTATGATTATTTGTATCTATGTGTGTATATAGAAAAAGAAATCTCAGTATTTATATCAGTTACTAAAAACTGAACCCTAGAAGTTGTCTAATAGTAGTTGTTACTGGAGGACACAACTACTATTTTAATAAAACTAAATACTAGTAAAAAATGTGTATTTTTCCCAAAAGGACTCAATGTTACTGGCAGCTTGTCTACCATTCTTTTTATAAACTTTTTATTTTTTATATCTATTTTTTATATGTCACTTTGACTAATATTGTTTTGTTACATTCTCGCTGGGAAAAATACACATTTTTTACTAGTATTTAGTTTTTATTAAAATAGTAGCTTTGTTCCCGCTCCAGTAACAGTAGTACTAGATTTAATTATCCAGGGTTATTTATTATTATTTAATAATGAATTATTACATATTATTTATTTATTATTTACTTATTGATTAAATTTGCACCGCCTACAGTTTCTCTGCACAACCTGTGGTTGACTGGTAGAAAATGCCGTAAGGCGTTAAGTCCGCCATATGTACTTTTACCTTGGTATTTTGTGCATTGAAGTTATATAAATAAATAAATAAATTACAACAAAAATATATTTCAATCTAAAATAATAAGTATATCCGCAAATAATAAATATATTATGTTTTATGTTAACCTTTGCAAAATATCAACAGAATGAACAATATTTAAAAAGGCACAAATATATTTCTACGTTTTTGTGTCTACTTAAAAAAAAACGTAAAACAAATTACAGCTGTCAATAGCAGTAGTGCAATGAATATGTATAGGATTTTGTTTTTTCAGACCAAACGGTTTACCGTTTTGGAAATTTTAAAACTGGTCCATATTGATTTTGAATAATAAACTCATTAAAAAGTGAATTAGATATCATTATTTATTGCATTATGTTTAAGGAATTCGTTGTGTTATAAATATCAACGAATTGATATTTAATCTTATACATGCACTAGCTTTTGCCCGCGGCTTCGCTCGCGTTAATTTATCCCCTTAGAGGTGGAATTTATCAAAATCCTTTCTTAGGGGATGCCTACGTCATAGTAGCTTTATGCATGCAAAGCCTCAACCCGATCGGTTTAAAATTGACAAAGTTTCTTACAAACTTTCATCCCCTATTTTATACCCTTGGGGGTAGAATTAATCACAATCCTTTCTTAGCGGATGCCTACGTCATAACATCTACCCGCATGCCAAATTTCAACCCGATCCGTCCAGTAGTTTGGGCTGTTCGTTGATAGATCACTACGTCAGCCACCTTTAAGTTATATATATTTAGATTGATTATATTAGAAAAAAAATAGACTTGAATGTTATGAATACAGTAATTTGACAGCCTCGGTTGTATAGCGGTTTAGCACACCGGCTTAAGTCCGATGGTCGCGGGTTCGATTGCTCGACACGGCACAAACATTTGTATTCATGGGTATGATTGTTTGTATCGGTCTGGATGTTCCTATATATCTTTTCTATATATCCTTGTGAGCGATCAAGAAAACCAGGGAATTGTCCTAATATGTATATTCAAATATCTTTATTCATGTAGGTCTATTATAGACTCTTATGATATGTCAAATCTACCGTCAGTTCGGAATGATTTCGAGATGAGGAGAACTGACAAGAAACTCAGCTCGTATTCTTTTCAAATAAATGTTGTACATGTTTACAATAATACAGATTCATTTTTAAATTCAAATTTGGGAGAGCGACCACCAGCATATGCTATTGCTAAAGCAAATAGTCTAATCAGTGTTCGTAACCCGAACAGACCAGTCCCCACAAGCAGCACCCGTTCACGAGTATGACGGATGATATTATATTATAAAAATACTAAACGAAACAAAACACGACTAACAAGGAAACACTACTAACTAGGGCCAGGAAGGGAAACCGAGGGGAACAGTAGATAGAAGTGACAATTTTAAATTAAATAATTTTTAATAATACATATAAATAAAATTGGAGTGTCTGGTGTCTGAAATAACCGTTTTTTACTATATGCATATGAATATAAATACGGTACATAGGTACACGAAAATATCATTTTTTCCAATTTTTGTCTGTCTATCTGTCTGTCTGTTTGTTCTGGCTTATCTCTTCAATGGCTGGCCCGATTTTGACGGGATTTTTTTGGCAGGTAGCTGATGT